AGCTAATCCTGCTTGATGTTGCAAACTGATATTTTCTTATTTTTACAGTATGTATAGCCATATACACACTACACTGCAAAAATGCTTAGATTTCTCTGACTTCTTTTAGTATAAATATCTAAAAATTCTTATATCAAGAAGCATTTTCTAGGCAAGCAAAACATATAGGCTGTTTCTCAATATGCATTCTTCAGCAGTGTTGCGTTCTCGTGTAATGTCATTGTCAACTGACAAAGTTCAGTTCCAAGACTCAAGACCGCAAGAACGGAGGACGCGTGAAACTTCCCGGATGTGTTCTTGGTGTCGAGGAATCACCGATGCAGACTTGAGCACTGATCTTTAGAAGTCCCAGAAGTCATTGCGACTGGAGGTGGGAAGCACAGCATTTTATTTAGATTTATTATTAAAGTTCAGAGATATCACCTTTTACCTCAGGAGTTTTCCTAAATGAAACTGTGAATATAAACATTACCATGGACATCTTAATAAAGGAATAGACACAATAAGGGTGTTTGTTTGCTGAAAATCATATTAAAATCTGTTTTATTTATATTGTGCAAGGCATATTTATAATGTTTTTATTCATAGTATATATTTTGAAAAGGGGGAAAACAGTAAATCGTTTTATGAATGCTGTAATGTTTAAATCATTTTCCATTTAAAATGTGTGAAGGTCATGTGACCATCAGGAAGAACGTAGCATCTCATTCCTCACAGGATGCATTCTCTGTTCTCGTGGTCCCCCGAATTTGTTCTTCCCAGGACACCTGGCAAGACCGGTCTTCACAAGAACGCAAGTCCATTCTCTGCATTCTTGGAACTGAGAAACAGCCATAGTCTTGTTTTCAGAAACACCATGCCAATATTAAGTAAGTTTTTCCTTAAAACAAGCAAAATAATCTGCCAATGGGGTAAGGAAAATAATCTTTTTTTTTTCTTTTTGACACAAGATTATTTTGCTTACCCCATTGGCAGATTTTTTTGCTTGTTTTAAGGAAAACTCACTTAATCTTGGCATAGTGTTTCTTAAAACAAGACGATATGTTTTGCTTGTCTAAAAAATCTTCTTGATTTAAGAATTTGTAGATATTTGGAATAGAAACCAAAAAGTCAAAAAATCTAAGTAAGAAAATCTTTTTTGCAGTGTAGTTTGCAGAGCAAGTAGTTTGACCATTTTCTGCCATTCATTATTCCTTGGCAATTGCTCCCAAAGGCAACTGAATCGAAAGTTCTGAAACAATCACAAAAATGACTTCCACATCACCGGACAAAGTCAATATACTACATTATGTTGAGAAACGCCTATTTAATTTAATGGCCTAGATCACAGGTGTCAATTCCAGTTCCTGGAAGGCCGCAGCTCTGCACAGTTTAGTTTCAACTCTAATTAAACATACCTTTAAGCATAAAACATTAGGCTTGTTTGAGACCTACACGTACGTGTTTTGGAGTAAGGTTGGAACTAAACTGTGCAGAGCTGTGGCTCTCCAAGAACTGGAATTGACACATGTGGCCTATATTATCCAAGAATGTAAAAGTGTTTACTCTCCCTCGACTGATGATTCCAAACCTTTATGAGTTTCTTTACTCTGTTGAACATAAAATAAGGGATTTTTAAGAACACTGATAACCATTGACTTCCATAATAGGAAAAACTAATACCATGGAAGACTATGGTTACAGGTTTCCAACAATTTTCAAAATATCCACTTTTGTGTTTAACAGAAGAAGTTACATTTTTGGGTGAACTATCACTTTAGTATTTTATTACATTTGTATTTATCACATCTATAGTAGAACAATAAAACATAGTAGATGGTTTATAACTTTACATGTTGATTGACAACACAGCAACAATTAATCTAAAATAATTGCTTCTTTTAAGTTGTAAGAAAATGTGATGCATTTTCCGCATGTTTCTTTCAACAAACCTCATTTATTGTTCAATTAATTAATCTTCTTTCAAGTTCTAATCTTGTATAACTAGTAAATCATTATCACTTTGACAATTTTCACTCATTAATGCATCCTGACAGCAAGCTGATCAAATGAAAATATGATTCTATTATTACTATTACTGACTGGACTAATTTAACATGTTTTATGTTGTTTTAATTACTTTGATGGGTAACACTTTACAATAAGGTTCATTAGTTAATGCATTTACTAACATGAACTAATCATAAACAACACATGTACATCATTTATTAATCATAATTGAACAATCACTAAAGCATTATTAACATCCAAGTCCATGCTTGTTAACATTAGTTAATGCACCGTGAGTTAACATGAACTAACAATGAACTACTGTATTTTCATTAACTAATGTTAAATAACATGGACAAATACAATAGTAAATGTATTGTTCATTGTTTGTTCATGTTAGTAAATGCATTAATTAACATGAACTAATGAACCTTATTGTAAAGTGTGACCCTTTAATGCAGTGGCTCCATCTCCTCTTCTGAAAGTGAAAATCATGGCAACTTGTATTCTTTTTTTCCGATGTTTTTCACTGGCTTATTGTGAGCATTTTCCATTCATTCATATGGAAGTTGAGCTTAATGCACTGCGTTAGCGTTGATTCCAATCTTCCGTATGAATTAATTGAAAACGCTTGCTCCGCTGCGCTTGCTACTGTACGTGCCAGTGGATACACAGTGCTAAAAAAGAACCTAGGTGATAATGGGAGTTCACATGTGTCTCACTTCACCAGCAACACACGTACAAGTACTATACAGATGCAATGCTTTTAATACTCCTAGCTAAAATATGGTATTTTCTATAAATTGTAACACACCATAAAACAAACAAACTGTCTGCTACATATTGTTTCTTAATTTTATCTAAATTGTATATTTTAATCTTTTTTTATCATTATTTGTTTTTATTTTTATTATACTTGGCTGTTTTACTCCTGTTTATGTAAAGCACTTTGAATTGCCACTGTGTATGAAATGTGCTATATAAATAAACTTGCTTTGCCTTAACACGTAAGATACAGATAACAAAAAAAAGTACCCCCATTTTGAAAATAAATATTTTTATCCATTTCTCTGTGAATATAGGTTTTATTTTGGTGCATTTAAATAAAACTGATTTATTAAGCAAATATATTTATTAAAATAATATTTTAGCCACCAAACATATTTGGAAATTGAAAGATAATACAATTAAATTCAAGCAAAAACTTTTTACCCACAACATTTCTACTAAATATTTCAATTTTGTTGCTTCGTTTGATTTTTCCTCTTTTTTTATTATTTGTATTTAATATTTTTCTATAACATATACATATTGGTGTACAAGTTTTTGGACCTTTATCGTGTTATTTTGTTTGATAAGCTCCAGATTTGGCTCCAGATTTGGCTCGTGTTATTTTGTTTGATAAGCTCCAGATTTGGCTTCAGTACAGACTAATCTAATGTATATGATCAAAAACAGTAAATAATATAGCTTCCTATAAAAAGTAAAATAGTAAAATTCCTATAAAAAGAGTTTCTTTGGTGATTTTTGAGGGGTATACTCATATATTCTAATCACTGTATAATGAAAAGATAATTATTGGCTTATAAATCGGTGTGCAGCATTTTAGAAAATTTAGTTACACTATATAAAAAAAAAAAAAAAATATATATATATATATATATATATATATATATATATATATATATATATATGATCAATTAGCCATGACAACATATGTTTTTAGTTCATTGTAACTTCTTAAGTTAGAACATATTTAACTTTTAATAAGTTAAACAAGCTGTTTTAAGGCAGGTTAACTTAATACAAGTTCAATGGACTCATTAGGTTAATATGATTCAGATTAAAACTTTAAGGCAACCAGGATTTTTTTTTTTTTTTTTTTTTTTTACTGTGTAGAAGTTTAGGGAGCAGGCCTAACACCAAAATGTATGTTTATTAACCCTAGACGTTTAATTAAAGGAATAACAACCTGACAACTGCAACTAACCTTTAAAACAAAAAATAAAAATGAGAAAAAGGTTGTTGGAATGTGTGAGAATTGTAGTGGACTAAGTTTGCCGTTCTTATCAGATTGTTTTAAAAAAAAAAAATTTTCCCTAATGTGATGCTGATTTACACCATATCCAACATGGATCATAGTTTTTCACAACATAAAAATCCTGATTATTAATGGACTAAGTTCGCTGTTCTCATCAGATTTTGTTTTATTTTTCCTAATGTAATTTTTGCTGATTTACGCCATATTCAACATGGATTATAGTTTTACCCAAAACAAGTCCTAATAGACTATTTTAATGTTGTCATGTCCTTGGCCCATGAACATTTCCTGCTTGTTATAAAACTATTTCATAGCTGTAACAAGTGACAACTGAATCATAACTTAATATTAAAATAGCTTTCATAACATTATTAATTAATATGTGGCTCTTTTTGGATTCTCAGAAGCTATAGAAAAAAAAAAGTAAAAAAGGAAGTACATTGGGAACTTTGTTTTTGTTTACATCCCTCAACATGGCCTATACATAAGTCTATAACAAAAGGGTTACCAAATAAATATTTAAACCAAGTTCTAAATTTCAAAGATATAAACTAATTCTAATAACAAAGGTTGTATGTTAGAGGATTGTTTAATTTATTAATTGTTTTGCTTTTGTTGATTAGAGGCCAAAGAAATGTTGATACTGTACATTTTTATGTAAATTATTATAATTACCTAAATTATGATATAGTATGAGCAAAAGCTTTTAATCACAGTCCAGGGCCACTTAATAGTTTAAAAAACTGTTCCAAACCTTTTTACTCGAGGTAAATTCACTTTCAATAGTAATACTGCATACTTGAGTTTTCAACATTTTTAAAAATATCTACTTTTGTCTTCAACATTTGAAAGAATCTCAAACAACTAAGGATGAGTAAATGACTGCAAAGTCAATGATAGCAGATAGCGGAATAATACTTTTTGCTGACCTGCCCCTTTAAGTCATTTGACCATGGCATGCATTTATGTGTATCCATGTCGTCTCTCTCTCTCTCAGATGAGACCAAGCTGAAGTTGTGGAACGTGACCAGCAGTAAGAATGTTCTTCAGCTGCCCAGCATCTTCCACCATCTGCCACATTTGCTGGCCAAGGAGAGCAGCCTTCAGCCGGCGGTGCACATCGGCCAGGGTCGCACCGGAGGTGAGGAAACTAGCCTCTCTGATGCATTTGATATGTTTCATTACATTCTCCTCCAGGCCTGTCCAGTTTGCATAAATGTGGGTTTAGCGCCTCCAGTGACCTGCAGCTGTCAGATGAGTTCATGCGATATTGTTGTGTTTTTGTATTCAGTGACTTTTAGGCGAGTGTTGTTGAATGCGCAAACAAGGCCCAGTTTTACTCTTTATATTAAGCTGTACTTCAGTTCATCCTTTCACAAGTGAATGACACTAAATAATTGTAAACAGGGTGTAAAACTTTAACTCAAGAGCTGCAGAGGCAGTCATTTTGACTGTTTTTAAATGTTGCATTTTGATAACATTAAAATAAAACCCGAATAACTTTAGTTAGTTTTTTTTTTTACCCTAAATGTGTCTATAGTTAATTTTAATATAGCTTATTATAATATAACAAAACACTGAAGAGGTCTGTGTTTTTCTACCCAAGGCCATAATGGTCAAACTGGCCTTTTTCAATTTCAGTGTTTGCTACTTTTTCCTTATTTAATGCTTTTACTAACATGAACAAACAGTGAACAATAAATTTATTTCAGTATTTGTTCATATTAGTTAACGTTAGTGTGCGGCTTTAACTAATACAGTTGAAACCAGAAGTTTACATGCACACTCTAAAAAAAGGAACATAACCATTTTTTTTAAATGTCTGATGGTAAATTATACTAAACGTTTACTATTTTAAGTCTGTTAAATGCCAGAATATTTATATAATAGATTTTTCAGATTTTTTAAATTAACTTCTACAAAGTCAATTGTTTACATAAATTTAAATTTGTTTTGGGTATCCTTCAAACTATTGTGTGAAGCTTGTGTTTGACTTGAATTTTGGCCCATTCCTCCTGACAGAATTGGTGTAACTTAGTCAGATTTGTAATCTGTCTTTCTCACACAAGCTTTTTCAACTCTGCCCACAAATTTTCTATAAGATCGAGTTCAGGGCTTTGTGATGGCCACTCTAAAACATTCACTCTGTTGTCTTTAAAGCACATTTTAACAAATTTGGCAGTATGCTTAGGGTCATGGTCTATTTGGAAGACCCTTTTGTGGCCAAGTTTTAATTTCCTGGCTGATGTCTTGAGATGTTGCATCAGTATTTCTACATAATGTTCTTTCTTCATAATGTCATCAATGCTGTGAAGTGGACCATTCCCTCTTGCAGCAAAACAGCCCCACAACATGCTGCCGCCCCCATACTTCACAGTTGGGATGGTGTTCCTAGGCTTGTAAGCGTTCCCCTTTGTCCTCCAAATGTAACACTGGTCATTACACACTGGTCAAACAGTTCAATCTTAGTGCCATCAGACCACAGGACATTCATTCATTCATTCATTTTCTTTTCGGCTTAGTCCCTTTATTAATCCGGGGTCGCCACAGCGGAATAAACCTTATTATCCAGCACGTTTTTTTTTAAGCGGATGCCCTTCCAGCCATAACCCATCTCTGGGAAAAACACAGGACATGTCTCCAAAAATTATTCTTTTTCCCAGTGTAATTTAGCAAATTGTTATCTGGCTTTTTTGTTGATTTTGGCTTGTTGATTTTCCCATGTTGTCACACGAGGAAGCAGTGTGTTTGAGGTCTTCCTTAAATACTATTTTACAGGTGTGCCTCCAGTTCACTCAAATTTTGCCAATTAGCCAATCAAAAACTTCCAAAACCTTGACACCATCAACTGAGCTTTTTCAGAGGCATAATAATCTTGTTGTATGTAAACTTGACTTTCCAGAAAAGGTATAGCAATTTCTCTCAAAAAAAAAAAAAAAACTATCTCATTATTCTGCTATTAAGAATAACAGAGACAAATCTGATGCACATACTTTAGTTTTTATGTATATGCTTCAGTTTTATATAACTTTTTGTAAAGCGTGACTTTACTGAACAAATTTGTCTTGATATACAAAAAAAACATTAGCCAGTATTGCTGCGACCGGCAACAGCTCTGCATTTTATGGTGCTGTTGGGGAAAGAGATTTGAAGTGCTTACTGTTTTGGATGGAAAATATAGCTCTTAAAGGAAAAAAATAAATAAAAATAAAGAGACTGCTGCAGAATGACCAGTCCCTCAGGATTTACTATTTATAGCTACAGTATGCGAGTGAAACATTTGAGTTTGTTTATTCTATAGACTGCTGGTGATATTTCCTCCAAATTACAAGTAAAAATGTAAAAAAAATACTAAAAAATATATTAAAAATAAATGATTCCATGTTTTCAAACCTTAATATAACGCAAGAAAACTAGTTCTGATTCTGTTTTAAACAGCAAATTAATGTTTTTCATCAGGTAATTCTTTACAGGAAGGTTCTAAGTGTTTACATTAGATAGTATATTGTATAATTTACCGTTAATATACCTTCTAAAATGGTTATTAAATTAATATCTGTGGAATATCCCTGATTTCTAATCCTGATTTGATAGTCCTGATATATCCTGATAATAAAAAATAAGTCTGCAGCAACTTCTGGTTCACGAGGACTTTAAATGTATCATCTCTCTCTCACACTTATGAAAAGATCTAGACCAGGGGTGGGCAAACTTGATCCTGAAGGGCCGGTGTCCTGCACAGTTTAGCTCCAACTCTAATCAAACACACCTGCCTGTAGATTTCTAGTCATCATGGAGTCACTAGTTAGCATGTTCAGGTGTGTTTGATTAGTGTTGAAGCTAAACTATGCAGGACACCGGCCCTCCAGGATCAAGTTTGCCCCACCCCTGGCCTAGACTCTCCTAGCTTTTGAACCAACACCAACCCTATTGGTTTTATTTGAAGGCCTAAAAATGTTTGTTTATTAAATAGCAAACGTTTTTAACATTTTTTTTTTTTTTTTTTGGATGAGGAGATCAAGATACTTTAATGCAATTCGAAAGCGTAAATAAACACAAAATCATAAGCTATGGACATACACATTAAAATACACATTCACAACTATTGATTAACAGATTGATTAACAGACTGTTGATTAACTAATTATCAATTTAAGAAAGGAAAGAAGCCAATAAAAAATGAAAAAAAGAAATACAGAAAGGAAGAAAAAAGAAAGCAAAAAACAGCAATGAAAGTTAAAAGTGAAAGAAAGAGAAAGAAAGAAAGAAAGAAAGAAAGAAAGAAAGAAAGAAAGAAAGAAAGAAAGAAAGAAAGAAAGAAAGAAAGAAAGAAAGAAAGAAAGCAGCGCAGCAAAAAATGAAAAAAGTACTAAGAATTAAATAAATGAAACAAAGGAAAGTAAGAAATGAAAGAAGCAAAGAGAGTAAAAAGAAAGAGAAAGAAATGAAAGCAATGAAAGAAACAAAAAAGAAACAGGAAAGTAAGAGGGAAAGAAAGAAAGAAAAAGAAAGAAAGAAAGAGAAAGAAAGAAAGAAAGAAAGAAAGAAAGAAAGAAAGAAAGAAAGAAAGAAAGAAAGAAAGAAAGAAAAGAAAGATGAAAGAAAACAACAAACGTAAGAAACAAAGGAAAATAAAAAATGAAAGGAGCAAAGAAAGAAAAATGAAAGAAAGAAGCTAACAAGAAACAAAGGAAAATAAAAAATTAAATGAGCAAAGAAAGAGAAAAATATTAGAAAAACAAAGGCAATGAAAGAACGCAATAAGAGAAACGAAAAGAAATGAAAAAAACAAATGAAAGTAAGAAATGAAAGAAGCAAAGAAAGAGGAGAAAGAAAGAAAAAATGAAAGCAATGAAAGAAACAGGAAAGTAAGAAGGGAAAGAAGCAAAGAAAGACAAAAGACAGCAACGACAGTAGAAACAAAGGAAAATAAAAATTGAAAGGAGCAAAGAAAGAAAGAAAGAAAGAAAGAAAGAATGAAAGACAAACAAGCTAACAAACAAGCTAGCAAGAAAGCAAACAAACTAACAAAAGAAAGAAGAAAAAACAAAAGAAAGTATGAAACGAAAGAAGCAAAGAGTTGATAGAAAGAGAGAAGTTAAAGCAATGAAGAGAAAGAAAGAAAGAAAGAAAGAAAGAAAGAAAGAAAGAAAGAAAGAGAAAGAAAGAAAGATAGAAAGATAGAAAGAAAGAAAGAAAGAAAGAAAGAAAGAAAGAAAGAAAGAAAGAAAGAACCAAAAACTTGGAAACGAAAGAAGCAAATAAAGAAAGAAAAAGAGAGAGAAAGAAAGAAGGAAATTAAAGCAAAGAAAGAAACAAAATAATAAAAGAAAGAAACAAACAAAGAAACAAATAAAGAAACAAACAAGGGTCCTTGTAAAAATTAAATATACACCTGAAAATAAACACTTAGCTTAATTGTCATGATCTTTACAATCTTCATACCCCGTCTCCTCTGAACTCTTATTATGTCAGCACTCATAACGGTATTGTGTCTCACTTATGAAAAGAAGTAGTGCTCCTCTCATATACAGCAGCTCATCTCCCGTCCTGGCTGTCAGCCCAGTGCTGTCTGGGTGTCTAGCCTGTCTGAGTGGACAGTTCTCTGGGGTGGTGTCCAATACTGAGCCCCAGTTGGGGAGGAAATGCTCTGTTATCCCACAGGCTCAACGGGGCTCTCCTCTACATTCAGATTTAATTAAGATGGAGCTCTCAGAAATGCAAATGCACAGTCAGAAAAGGCCAAACACTCTACAGACTGGAGTGTGTGAAGGAATGGTACAGTAAATTTTAGTGTCGACCTGTCAGCTGATTAGTGTGTGTGTGTGTGTTTCAGTGTCGATAGTGTTGGGGGTGCCCAGCGTAAAGAGAGAGGTGCACTCGTACCTGACGGACACGCTGAGCTCGCTGATGACAGAACTGAGTCCTGCAGAAAAGGAGGACTGTGTGATTGTCGTCTTCATTGCGGAGGTAAGATCAAAATGTTTTTTTAAACAGGCCCGGCGCCAGGATGTCATAACTGAGGGGGGCTTTTAATCCTATAGGGGGGCACTAGACCTAGTGACTGATTTTAGTCCCTCTTGTTCCTTTCATTTAGGCTACTTTTTTACTTATTTATTATTACTTTGGCAGTAATTTATGCTTTATAGGAATAATAATGTGCACAGTTTCGCTATTACTAATTTTTATCAATGAAGGCCATGCAACGATACTGTTTACATAAAAGCAGATGGATCATGGCTTTAGCGCCAAACAAGTTACGTTTTATTCTCCTTATTTCTTTTTATATTATTTCAAATAATATAATAGTTAAAAGGTAAAGGTAAAAAATATAGATTTATGTTTAGCTATCATAGGTGGGGGATTTGTTTCGTGAAATTGTCCGGTTGGCATTTGTAAAATGCCACCATAAACCATTAGGCTATTAGGCCTACCTATCATAGTATTTATTTATTTAGCCTATCTATCTTAATAACTTTTTATTAATACATTTTCAGGTTTTGTTTTCATTTTTAGGGCCTTCAACTACAAGTCAAAATAAAATCTAGCTGTTAAAATAGGCCTATGATAAATTTTTGGTGTTTATTTAGCACAAGCAAATAGCAGTAATAGCATAAATTACATATTATTTAACAATTATCATTCAGCCTACCTGCAGCGCATGTGAGAGGTTGATCTGCGGCAAATTCACTTACTCACACACCCTATATAAGCCGACCTAAGTCATTTATAACACTGTAAACTTGACGTCGTAGGCTGATCATCTTTAAACTCAAAAGGCATTTTTAAGTGTCCTAACTTCAGACTGCTGCATAATGGGATGTTCAATTAGACCCACTTATTTGGTAAATAAAGCAAGTCTCACATATACTGTATCTACTAAAAGACAGAAAATATTACTTTAATAACTGTGTTGTAAATAAATATGAACATTTTCATATTAGTCAATAATATTACTGAAAATAATTTTTAAATTATCACACATTTACAAAAATAATATAAATAAACTCAATGATCAGCTAAATATTGTAGGAATGGTATTTTGAATTCCAAGGGTTTGAACTGAGTTTTGCTGAATGACTAAGAAGTTAACAGTATTTATGGTGAAAAACTGTACACTTCTAGTCAAACCATCCTTCTGCAATCTTATTCCAAAAATCAAAATAAGGGCAGTATTAATGGATAAAATATGGGAGAGCATTGCTTTTATGTGGTTGTATTGTATTGCAAAATGGAGAAATTTCAGTAAGTGTTGATGTTAAATCAAAAGTAATTTACTGAATACTCGATAATGAAATTATTTTACCTCCTAGGGCTTAGTGGCCATATACGTGGACGGCACATTTTAGCTCTTAAGTGGCTATTTAAAATACTTTAAATGTTTTTTATTTTGTTACAGACTTACAGTCATCCTGCAACTGTGCATATTAAATGTCCCAAACACTATTTTTAACTGTCCAAAATGGGGGAAAAAAACTCTCTCTGAGAGTCAAAACATGTTTAAACAAATTTCTATGTTATATATGCAATAAAAACAGTCAGGGAAAGGTGTTTTATGTAAATTTGGACCACGAGTCCACATATATGGCCATCATTTTTCTTTAAAAGTACATGATATCAAAAAATGATACTTAGGTTTTATTCTAATTAGGTTCCAATAAACCCAAATAAAATGAAAAAAACTCATTGGGCCTTAAGAGGTTAATGACAGTAATTCTCTATGGTTACAACTGAATTAATTAAAAATAACTATATAACATGATTAAATATGAAATGATAAAAACATATGATAATAATTGTACCCAGCTTAAATGTAAAATAAAGTTACCTCAGAAGGAGAGGAAGGGAGAGAGATAGACAAAAGGCAGTAAGGAGGCCTCAAAGAGACCCTGATAGCAGTAGAGTCAGAGAAGGTCGCCTCCAGAGCAGAAAAAGAGCCAGTGCAAAGTTTACCAACTATTTTGTATATTTCTTGAGTATGTGACCAAAGCCCAAATACTGAGACATTCAAACTGACCAATCAACATGTGACCACATTGTAAAACCCGTAAAGTCCACACACCAGGCCTTGATCTTATCAGTATCTGCCTTTGGAGTTAGTATGGATCCTCTTTGCTGAAAAGACATGTTTTGCCATATAAACAAATGCATATGACAATTTTCATTCTTACAATATCAGTGGAAATCTGTGGATTTCTGTGCACACCGATTCCATGTGGGCCTATTTATTACCTATTAATAAAACTATTATAAATGAAGCTATAAATGTCATCATAATTCAGTATACATTTTTAAATTATTATTATTTCAGCCCTTTATGGATTTTTTATGATTGATTATAAATAATTAAAAACAGGGTTAATAAGAATTTAAAATATGTGCATGAGCTTCATAAAAAAAAAGTGTTACCAAAGGTCTTAATCTTTGAAAGTGTATTATAGTTTAGTATAATTATTTATTCTTTTGTGTATTTTATTAAATACAGGGGGAAATTATTTCTTTTCTATAATTATGTCTGTTATATGCTGAATTTCGCCCATAGTTTGATGTTTTATTTTCACAAAATTTATTTAAAACATTAAAGTAGAAGATTTACTTAAATTTAATATGCCTTACAGTATATAAAAACGTGTTCATTAAAACTGCTTACTCATTTAGTAAATAAATATATTTTAAGGTATTCCTTTGCTGCCTTTTGTAATCGCATTCTTCCTATTAAAAATACCTTGGAAAAAAAAAACTAAATTCTACATTTTTATATAAAACTATGCAAAGTGCTTTGTTAAAGGGCCATGAAACCCCCTCTTTTCAGCAGGGTGTTTTCACACCTCTACTTTGGAAAAAGCCAGAAAAGTGGGCGTGTCCAGCTCTGTTTAGGGGGGGGGGGGGGGGGGGTGTCGGAGGAAGAAAAGACGCACGGTGTGGGAGTGTCTATTTGGGCACGCGACTGTGTTTACATGGGCATCTGTAGTCGAATTATTTGCCAAATTATTAAATGGTGGACTTTAACTGCAGTTTGGCTCTTTCATTCAGAGAATTCATTCATGTCCCCCGCGACAAACGAGATATTTGATTCAAGGAACTGCTGTAAGCGTGTATTTTTCATGCAATGTTTGATAAAGCACGGCGAATGAGAGAAAAAAAAAAACTCAGCATTTCCCGGAAACTTAGATGCACACGGCAGGTAGCGTCAGAAAGCGGAGTGGGTTATTCCGGTCACAAAATGCGGTAAAAATCCTACACGAGGTTAAAGTTTGGTTGTAATGCTAACATGTTTACACTCTGTGCAATAGTTTGTTCGATACGAACAAACTGAATAAACAAAGAGAGCTGGTCGCTCACTTACCAAATCTTTAGAGACAGGACAATCACCAGCAACTAGAGCCGCGTCTTTATTAAGTGGAGAGTACAAGCGAATCCGGATCTCAGCGTTTGCAGATGAGAACAGCTCTCAGGTAAACAATAATCCTCCTTAGACAAGTAAGTTATTGTTGTCGAGCGTCGCGTACACTGTAATCCACACGTGAGTCTGAGCTCTCACAGAGAGAAAATGAAAACAAAACTTAACTGCAGCAAACTATAAAAGCAACACTTCACGCTTGTTTTGCCAACATAACGTGGCGTCTCTTTCGTCTAAACACTGTGACAGTAATGAATATTAATGAATTTGCACAATAGAGTGAGCAGTGTGGGACACATATACGACTGTCAACAGCTCAAAAAATGTGTTTTGGTGTTTCGTGACTGTAATGAAGTTTACGGCCCTTTGGCCGCCGGGAAGAAGGAGGCGGAGAACCGACGGAGTTTAAAAATGATTTATTAATAATAATGAGGGCAGCTCCTCACGGAGACTGCCATTTAAATCAAAACAAACGGACGGCAGCTCCTCGCGGAGACTGCCGTCAAACTGAAAGCAAAAGTAAAATAACATGCCCGGGCCCGGTCCTCTCTCGGCTTCCTCTGCCATCGGTCCTCCTTTTATGATCCAGAGCTCCTTCCGTGGGATCCGAGGCAGGTGCGCACCGCACGTGTATCCACTCACGCGGTGGCCTCACCCCGTTCCCACGGCTCTCGGCCACGCCCCCTCGCCACAGTGACCCTTTAAAAGTTTGATTATCTTAAGCAAATTATTCTCTAGATGATTTGTTCAAAATGCTGATTCATTCTTAGCAACAAACACCACTGTTGTGTGGAGCTCTGAAACGTAAGCAATAGATTTGATTGATTTTTCTTTTTAAATTTAACCATGTTGTTCAATATTAACCGAATTGTTATTGTATTGTTGCATAAAAGCAATCTCACACTTCCAGTCCTGATGGTTTTCCTAAATATAAGCACCGCAGTGATTACTGTTCTGACTTTTGGGAACAACTGTACTGTTGCTCCTTGCTTGTGTGAAATTGCTTTTATAACAGCATTTTATCATCTAATATACTGTAGTACTCCCTCAAATTGCTTCAGGGCAATATCTTGTTGTGTAGCTAGCAACTTCTATAAACCATTAGCTGCAGTGTAGTTTATGCATTGCCTGCATCTTTTAGAAGATACTGTATTGTTTGCGAGTCACTGATTATAATTCTGGCTGCCTTCTGTAGTTACTAGCAGCAGTGACCCGTAATAAAGCACCACCGCTGTGCTGCTTGGCCATTAGCTTCTGTACACAAGCTAATTAACACAAGTTATGTCCCAAATGACACTCGCAATGCAGTCAAGCTGTCTTGTGTGTGAATTTTACATGGTTATTTTGTCATCTGTAGTGCTGTTGGTGTCTTCACTTACACTTTGTCACTTTCCTATGAGCAGTGCTAAGCAGTGGTGTAAAGTAACAAATTACAAACATTCAAACTATTGTAATTGAGTAGTTTTTCTCAAGACTTTTAATTTACTAAGTCGTTTTAAAAATGTGTACTTTTACTTTTCCTTAAATATGTTTTTACTGCTTCAGCCTGCAGTCACTACTTTATTCTTTT